AAAAGGACCCATCTAAAACAGTTTTTTTGCGAAAAAAAAACTCCGCTATCGCTCCGTTTTTATTTTCGCACGCGCGCTTCCCGCGCGGGAAAAACTCCTAAAATTTGGTATCAATACAGCAAGCAGTAGCTCCCATGCAGGAGATTCCAACCGGTACAGTACATCTTGCCGTCATTCTTGCGTAGGGACGGTGGTGGTGGTGTCATCCATTACAGGCGTCCCTGGCAACACGTCGTTTTTTGGGCCAAACTCTGCGCGAGAATGAAACCCGATTGAAACCGCCACATTGGCACAACACCGTGGGAGATCCCCACACCGCATGATGGAGCGATGAAGTCACGATCTTCGAGGTTATTTCTCGAACGAACGTGGAACGGAGTGTGTCGAACTCGTTCTCTGTATTGTTCTCTCGACACAGAACGTCGGAGAGTCTGGTCCTGAATGTGGGTGGGCATTCTCGAATTCTTCATAACATTTGGTATCAGACGAGGGTCTGCATGAAAGACCATGCCAGCCAATCAGCGGAGAGGGACAAGCCGGACGCGCCAGAAGAAGAGAAAAAACTACGAATTAAAGCTGTACTGAACAGAGATTTGAAATAGCCACACTTGGAAGATTGTTGGAGAATTACCGTCGGTAGTGTAGTAGTAGCATCGATAGGACCTTCACGCCGATATCTTTTGTTTCCTCCCACACTGCTATGTACAGAGAAAGGGTAAACCGTTGGGGGGGCATCGATGAACGGAAAAATGCAATGTGAAGTACTCGGAACTGGCATGCTACGAAGTACCATACATGGTAAGACATACATTTTCTTGTCCTGGAAAAATCGAGGTGGCAATGCATTTCCTGAGGACGAAAGCAACACACTTTCATAGACTTCATATGGTCTCGGGTCGACTTGGATAGGAACAACGTGTGGATATCATGCGCTGAAGCGCCCTATGGAGCCTTCACACACGGGGGACGGTCCTGCCGACGACGCCAAGTGTAATGGTATTGACACGCACGTGAGCAATCCCTGAAGACCCTGGTGAAGACCCTGGTAATACCCACTTATTATTTGCTGATTCATCTCTTTGAATAGCAGTGCACACCCGTTCCTTGTTCTCTGCGGTAGACTGAGCATGTGGGGGCTGTTGTATATGTCCGCGACTTGGAATGGAGAGACTGAATATCGCTTGTATTAGAAACGCAGAAGCAAGAGAAGAGAAGAAGAAGAGTGCTTCCGGAAAACAGAGAAGCAGGGGTCACAAACACAAAAACCCCCAAAATGGTATGTCTACGTTCCTATCTGCGAATATATCCGTTACTGCGGTCGATCAATACCTGTCCGTATCCAAACACACGAACACCCTCCCTGGTTTTTCACGCAAGTGGCAAACCATCCGTGGGGCATGGTTACCCCTGATCAGACCTAGGGACTCTAAACAGTAACGGTGCAAGGGAAAACCCGGCCATCCGGATCAAAAACCCTCGCCTACCCTAAACATATATAACCGTCGCTATCACGGAGGATTCCAACGGCCGCACTTCCAAGACAAGATCAAGGCAGGACAAATTGTACCGGGCACGGGGATTACGCATCTCTCGGTAGCGCTACGGGCGCTTCTAGGCTCCAACCTCGAGTGACGTGCCGGTAAATCCTTCCTGCGTGACGTACCATGATCATAAAGTCCAGTGCTAAACAACAACAAAAAAAACACACCACTACCCCGGGATGTTCATCAGAGCATTCCGGTGGTCTTCTAGTTTGGTCCTACCAAGAGCCTTGGTGAGAAGGTCGGCGTGCTGCTCGTCAGTCGGGATGTACTCGACGGAGATTCTGCCCGACTTGAACAGCTCTCGAATGAAATGGAACCGCACGTCGATGTGCTTGCTCCTCGCCGAGCTAAAGGGGTTCTGCACCAACGATATCGCCCCCTGGTTGTCCTCAAGGACCTTGATCTTCGCCCCACTCGTCTCAGGCGCTATGAAAGACAGCACCGCACGCACAAACAAGGCTTCTTTCACGCCTTCCCCGGCTGCAATGTACTCAGCCTCCGAGGTCGACAGAGACACGATACGCTGCGTCTTGCTAGCGTGGCTGACCACGGTACCACCAACAGTTACGGCTATTCCCGTCACCGAACGCCTGCCGGTGTCCCTGTCGGCGTAGCTGGCATCAACATACACCTCTAGGTCTAGCCCCGAACCCCGAACGTAGGTGATGCCGAGGTCCATCGTGGCGTTGAGATAGCTCAGGATCTGCACGAGCGCCTTCCAGTCTCGCATGGTGGGCGCATGAGCGTTCCGTTGCACTGCGTTCAGAGCGGTGGCGATGTCCGGCCTCGTAAATGTCGCAGGCCACATCAGACATCCGATCGCCTGCCTCACTGGCTTATCCACCCCGGGCTCGTCATCTCTCTTCGGCCCTAGATCGGCATTGGGGTCAGCGGGGGTGGATGCGGTCGTCGTGATCCCAAAACGGTCCATCAGTCCTGCAATGTACGCTTTCTGGGACAGTGTGGTCGTTCCCAACTCCAAATCCCTTTCAATCGCACATCCATCGTACCAGGTGCACTCCCCCAAATCCTTCACAGGAAGTGTCTTACGCAGGGAAGTGAGCAACTCCTCGCCCTCTTCTTCCGACCCTACGTACATGATGTCGTCCACGTAGATCACGATGATGCTCACTACCTTCCCATCCACGATCTTACGGAACACACACGGGTCAGCCCTGCACTGCTCGTACCCGCTATCCACCAGGATATTAGCAGCCTCAAAACCCCACTCACGCCCACTCTGCTTCAGACCATACAGTGCCCGTTCTACCTTGAGCACCTTGCCAGCCATGGCACCACTACCATCGGCAATCCGCACATAGAGTTCTTCCTGGATCTTTGCGTGCGTGTACGCCTGCTTAATGTCGAAATGGCGTGTGGGTAGGCCGCCCTCTGTGGCAAAGGCCATCGCGAGCTTAATCGATGAAACGGCTGGGCACGCTGATGAAGAGTGGTGGTAGTCCTGTCCGTGGACTTGGGAAAAACCACGAGCAACCAGACGGGCCTTGAAGTCGGTAATCAACCCCTTCTCATCAGTCTTGTAATCGAACACCCACTTCGTACTGACTGCCTTCCGACCTTCAGGGAGCTTCTCGATTTTAGAGAACGTCCCTGTTTTCTCATGCCCGTCCATCTCCTTCTTGATTGCCTCGTCCCACTGCTTCCTGTACTTAGACCATTTCACGTCCTCGTACGTCAACGGCAGAGCCTCTACATCGTTAGGTTTCTGCCCGATTGGCGAGGGGATACTTAGCTCAGGGTTGCTGCAGTCGATGTTGAAAGGACGTTCCACCGGCACGTCCGACTGCAGCATCATCTCTTCAATCTCAGCCTGTAGGGCCATTTCCTCCATCTGGTGCTCCTCCACCAACGACCGTTGGAGATAATCAGCGACGAGCTCCTTGCCTCCCTCCACCTCCAGGACTGTTGACAGCAAGGCCTCCTCGGCGGCCTCCTCGGCGGCACCCTCGGCGGTCCTCTCGGCCTCCGCTAGCTCCCGTGTCTGCTTCCGGGTGCGACCGCGCTGCAGCCCGTAGCGCAGTGGGCCCTCCTTCGAGGCGCCCCAGAGAAGTTTCTTTCCCTGCGTCCCGGGGGGTAGCGGGTATCGGCGGGGTCGTATTTGTACTCGCCGTCGTCGCTGCCGCCGCTATCCTCGCCGTCGACGTCGGAGCCCCCAGCTCCCCCGGCCTCTCCGCCGGAGTCTTCGGGTTCACCGCCGCCGCCGCTGGTGTCGCTGTTGCTGCTGCTGCTGCTGCTGCTGCTGCTGCTGCTGTTACTGCTGCTGCTGCTGTCGCTGCTGCTGCTGCTGCTGGTGGGGATGCCATCGCCGCCACCAAAATCGCCCCCTCCCAAATGGGGCGACGGGAGAGCACTACCTTCGTCCCCCTGGATCCCGTTGCCGCGTACCGCCGGCGCATTTTCGCGCGCCGGCAGTGTCGCACGCCCCGGCCCACGGATCTCCGTCATGTCGAGGTCGGACTCACTCGCCAAGTCCTCTTCCCCCCCTCCACCTCGACTCGACGTGTCCTCACTGCCCTCGC